ATTGCTACATCTCATTGTTGTGATAATCATTCACAATGATCCAATTTTTTTGTGAAAATTTTGTGAGTTTCAATTTTTCTAAATAAAAATGTTATAGTTGATATTTTTCAACAAAAAAGTTGTGTTGTAAAGGTGATTATAATGATAATCATTCACAATAATCTCAATTTTTGTGGAAATTTTGTGACAATCACCTTTTTCTAAAAAAATATATCATGTTTGGAATCAAAATCGATGTTTCTAAAGACAAATTGTGTTGTTACAGTTCATTGTTGTGATAATCATTCACAATGATCGAATTTTTTTGTGAAAATTTTGTAAATTTCAATTTTTCGAAATAAAAATGTCATGGTTGGTATCAAAATTGATATTTATTAACAAGAAAATTATGTTGTAAAGCTCTTTACAGTGATAATCATTCACAATAATCACAATTTTTGTGAACATTTTGTGAGAAGCATTTTTTTCTAAAGAAATATATCATGTTTGGAATCAAAATCGATGTTTCTAAAGACAAATTGTGTTGTTACGATTCATTGTTGTGATAATCATTCACAATGATCGAATTTTTTTGTGAAAATTTTGTGAATTTCAATTTTTCGAGATAAAAATGTCATGGTTTGTATCAAAATTGATATTTATTAACAAAAAAGTTGTGTTGCAAAACTCTTTACAGTGATAAACATTCACAATTATCACAATTTTTGTGACATTTTGTGAGAATCATTTTTTTCTAAAGAAATATATCATGTTTGGAATCAAAATTGATGTTTTTAAAGACAAATTCTGTTGTTACAGTTCATTGTTGTGATAATCATTCACAATGATCGAATTTTTTTGTGAAAATTTTGTGAATTTCTATTTTTCGAGATAAAAATGTCATGGTTTGTATCAAAATTGATATTTATTAACAAAAAAGTTGTGTTGCAATACTCTTTACAGTGATAAACATTCATAATTTTTGTGTAAATTTTGTGAGAAGCATTTTTTTCTAAAGAAATATATCATGTTTGGAATCAAAATCGATGTTTCTAGAGACAAATTGTGTTGTTACAGTTCATTGTTGTGATAATCATTCACAATGATCGATTTTTTTTGTGAAAATTTTGTGAATTTCAATTTTTCGAGATAAAAATGTCATGGTTTGTATCAAAATTGATATTTATTAACAAAAAAGTTGTGTTGCAAAACTCTTTACACTGATAAACATTCACAATTATCACAATTTTTGTGAAAATTTTGTGAGAATCATTTTTTTCTAAAGAAATATATCATGTTTGGTATCAAAATCGATGTTTTTAAAGATAAATTGTGTTGTTACAGTTCATTGTTGTGATAATCATTCACAATGATCGAATTTTTGTGTGAAAATTTTGTGAATTTCAATTTTTCTAAATAAAAATGTCATGGTTTGTATCAAAATTGACATTTTTCAACAAAAAAGTTGTGGTGTAAAGGTGATTGTAATCATAATCATTCACAATAATCACAATTTTTGTGAAAATTTTGTGAGAATCATTTTTTTCTAAAGAAATATATCATGTTTGGAATCAAAATCGATGTTTCTAAAGACAAATTGTGTTGTTACAGTTCATTGTTGTGATAATCATTCACAATGATCGTTTTTTTTTGTGAAAATTTTGTGAATTTCAATTTTTCGAGATGAAAATGTCATGGTTTGTATCAAAATTGATATTTATTAACAAGAAAATTATGTTGTAAAGCTCTTTACAGTGATAATCATTCACAATTATCACAATTTTTGTGAAAATTTTGTGAAAATCATTTTTTTCTAAAGAAATATATCATGTTTGGAATCAAAATCGATGTTTTTAAAGACAAATTGTGTTGTTACGGTTCATTGTTGTGATAACCATTCACAATAATCCAATTTTTTTGTGAAAATTTTGTGCATTTTAATTTTTTCAATGAAAATGTTATGATTGATATCAAAATTGATATTTTTTAACAAAAAAGTTATATTGTAAAGGTCATTTTAATGATAATCATTCATAATAATAACAATTTTTGTGAAAATTTTGTGAAAATGATTTTTTTCTAAAGGAATATATCACGTTAGGCATCAAAATCGATATTTTTAAGAATAAATTGTATTGCTACAGCTCATTGTTGCGATAATTATTCACAAAAATCCAATTTTTTTGTGAAAATCAATTTTTCATAAAGAAATATATCATGTTTGATAACAAAATCGATGCTTTTACAAGAAAAATTGTATTGTTACGCTCATTTTTGTGATGATCATTCATAATAATCTAATTTTTTGTGAAAATTTTGTGAATTTTAATTTTTCTAATTAAAAATGTCATACTTGATACCAAAATCGATATTTTTTTACCAAAAAAAGTTGTATTGGAAAGCTCATAACGATAATCATTCACAATAATTACTATTTTTGTGAAAATTTTGTGAAAATGAATCCTTTTTAAAGAAATATATCAAGTTTGGTAACAAAGTGGACGTTTTTTTAACAAAAAAATTGAATTTCTATAGCTCATTGTGATAATAATCAGTCGTAACAAGCACAATTTTTGTGAATATTTTGTGAATTTAAATTCTTTTTAATAAAAATGTCATGGTTGGTAGCAAAATTAACATTTTTCAACAAAAAAGTTGTGCTGTAAAGGTGATTGTAATGATAATCATTCACAATAATCACAATTTTTGTGAAAATTTTGTGAATTTTAATTTCTTGTAATGAAAATGTTGTGATTGGTATGAAAGTTGATATTTTTTAACAAAAAAGATGTATTGTAAAGGTCATTTTAATGATAATCATTCATAATAATAACAATTTTTGTGAAAATGAATTTTTTCTAAAGGAATATATCACGTTAGGTATCAAAATCGATATTTTTAAGAATAAATTGTATTGCTACAGCTCTTTGTTGCGATAATTATTCACAAAAATCCAATTTTGTTGTGAAAATTTTGTGAAAATCAATTTTTCATAAAGAAATATATCATGTTTGGTAACAAAATCGATGCTTTTACACGAAAAATTGTATTGTTACGCTCATTTTTGTGATGATCATTCACAACAATCCAATGTTTTGTGAAAATTTTGTGAATTTTAATTTCTCTAATTAAAAATGCCATACTTGATACCAAAATCGATATTTTTTTACCAAAAAAAGTTGTATTGGAAAGCTCATAACGATAATCATTCACAATAATTACAATTTTTGTGAAAATTTTGTGAAAATGAATCCTTTTTAAAGATATATATCAAGTTTAATATCAAAATCGATGTTTTCTTAGAGAAAAATTGTATTGTTACGGTTCATTGTTGTGATAATAATTCATAATAATCCATTTTTTGTGAAAATTTTGTGAATATCAATTTTTTTAAATGAAAATGTCATGATTGGTGTCAAAATTGACATTTATTATTACAACAAGTTGTGTTAAAATGTTCATTATAACGATAAGTTGTATTGCGAAGCTTATTACAATGATAATCATTCACAACAATCCAATTTTTTTGTGAAAAGTTTGTGAATTTCGACTTTTTTTATAAAAATGTCATGATTGATATCAAAATGGATGTTTTTAAATAGAAAAATTGTATTGTTACAGTTCGTTGTTGTGCTAAACGTTCATAGCAATCCAATGTTTTTGTGAAAAGTTTGTGAATGTATTTTTTTTTTAATGAAGATGTCATGATTGATATTAAAATCGATATTTTCAACAACAAAGTTGTGTTATCAACCACATTGCAATGATAATCATTTACAATAATCACAATTTTTGTGAAAATTTTGTGAAAAACAATTTTTTCTAAAGAAATATATCGTGTTTGGTATCAAAATCAATGGTTTAAGAGAAAAATTGTATTGTTACAGCTCGTTGTTGTGATAAACATTCACAGCCATCCAATTGTTTTGCGAAAATTTTGTGAACCTCAATTTTTTTAAATAGAAATGTCATAGTTTCTATCAAATTGATATTTTTTTATAACAAAATTGTGTTGTAAACCTTATTGTAAAGATAATCATGCACAATAATCTCAATTTTTGTGAAAATTTTGTGAACCTCAATTTTTTTTTTTTAAAATGTCATGATTGGTGTCAAAATGAAATTTTTTACTAAAAACGTTGTGATGCGAAGCTCATTGCAATGATATTCATTCATAATAATCGCAATTTTTGTGAAAATTTTGTGAAAATCATTTTTTCTTAAAGAAATATATCATTTGGTATCAAAATCAATGTTTTTAAAAAGAAACTCTGTTGTTACAGCTCATTGTTATGATAATCATTAACAACAACCTAATTTTTTTGTGAAAAGTTTGTGAATTTCGATTTTTTAATGAAAATATTATGATTAATATCAAAATCGACATTTTTCAACTACAAAGTTGTGTAGTAAAGTTCATTGCAACGATAATCATTAACAATAATCACAATATTTGTGAAAATTTTGTGAAAATCAATTTTTTCTAAAGAAATATATCTCGTTTGGTATCAAAATCGATGTTTTTTAACAGAAAAATTTTATTGTTACAGCTTGTTGTGATAAATATTCACAGTAATCCAATTTTTTTGTGAAAATCCAATTTTTTTGTGAAAATTTTGTGAACCTCAATTTTTTTTAATTAAAAATGTCATGGTTTGTATCAAAATTGATATTTTTTATAACAAAATTGTGTTGTAAAGCTCATTGTAATGATAAACATCCACAATAATCACAATTTTTGTGAAAATTTTGTGAAAATCAATTTTTCTAAAGACATATATCATGTTTAGTACCAAAATGTATCACTTTTAACAAAAAGTTTGCAATCAATAACAATCACAATTTTTGTGAAAACTTTGTGAATTCTATTTTTTTAACGAATACAATCATATTTGATTTCAAAATCTATAATCAAACAAAAATAGTAGTGTTACAAGCTTCGTTACCATGGTAACCATTCACAATGAAACCTTTTTTGTGAAAATGTTGTGATTTTTTTGTGAAAAATCGAAATTACTTACCAAATACAAACATTAATATGAATTAAAAACATCATAGAATACACCAAATAGGTCCATCGTAAATGCCTGCTCACCGTCAACGTATTTTTGCAATTATTATAATACTTAATCAAAAACCCAAATCTAAAAATCCGATTTAACCAAGAATACCGATAAACGTGCTCGTTTTCAACGACGTAATAAACCCATTCGAACGGGACCATCGTGAACAATTCGTACCAAAACATCGGTTTCGAAATATATTTCCTCAAAATCTTCGCAAACCGATTCACGATTAACCCCGAATCTTGATCGATAAAAGTCGTGTGACTCTTCAAAATCATTTTCACCAAAAAGATCACATCGATGATGTACCCAACATAATAATAATTCATTATATCGTAATTCCCGACTTTAACAATAAACGTCATCATTATTAGCGACGAAATAATCGAGAGGTGAACATTTAAGATATAATAATACAAAAAGATGTATTTATTTTCCGAATTAATCGTAAAAGTTAAAAGTTTTAACCACCACGATTTTTCACGATTAATTTCTTCGATAGTCTCGAACACTTTACTAGTAGAAATTTTTTGATCCGATTTATGATGGGTCGATTCAGAAATGGGGGGAATAAACTCCGAGTTGATTAATCGATTTTTATTTAAACGATTTATCGCGGTTTTGTAGCGCGAGATCGCTTTGTAGAAGGTGATTACGTCCAAAACTAACAATTCGACGTGGATTTTAGCCTTTGCGGTGATTGTGAGTCGCGTTTTTCCCTTTGGATTAAAATTTCCGAACATCCCCCCGCGGGTTAAAACGGCTAATCGATCGTTTGCGATTATAATTTCGACACTTCCTTTATGTACGATGTAAATTGTGTCGGTTACATCGTTACAGCGGATTATGTCGGCTCCTTTTTTGTAGTGCCATTCCGTGAAGTTTGGGGTGATGTGCTTCACTGCGCTTAATTCGAGGTTGTTGAGGATTTGGTTGAGCTTCATGGTGGGTTCGTAGAAGTCGGCGCATAATTTTGAGCGCAAAACTGGGTGGAATGAGGGTAAGATCTTGTTGATTGAGCTCCCTTTGGTGCGTTTCCACACGTATTCGTAATAAGAGACGGTTTCGTTGACTAGGGTTTGGTTTAGGTAGTATTTTTTTGAGAATCGGAGGAATTCTTTCATGTTGTGTTGGTAGTGGACTAAGCGGGTGTTTCCCCCGATTCGGGAGGAGGTTATTTTGGCTAGCATGAACCAGCGGATCGCTAAAAAGACGAAGCTGAGGAAGGCGACGCACACTATGTGAGTTCGGCGCTCAAAAACGAATAGCCCCACCGTGCTTGAGGTGAAAATCGAGATGCAGACGTAATAACATATGATTGTGGTGATTGTGAAGGATTGCTTCGTTTTGAAGATGTCGCGGTAAATCCAGGTGTCTTCGGAGCAAATTGTGCCGTTTATGTTGGTGTCGGGGCAGGTTATTCCTTCTAAAAACGCGGTGGCTACTCCTAATGATAAGACGACGATCATGATGTAGCGGAAGTTGTGGTACAAAACCGCGTTTCCCGTCGATTGGTTTTGGAGGTACGATACTCCGGAAATTGGGCGGTAAATCAATAAAGGGCGGGTGAGAATCATCAGGAATAATAACCCGTAATTCCGGTGCTTCCCGAAAAATTTGTCAAGCTCTAAAACGCTGTAGGGCAAAGAACAAAATAAGTCGAGCAAAAACGAGGTTGAAATGTAATGCTTAATCGTGTATAAAGGGTGCGTCACCAAAACACCCTTTTTATTGTAATATTGGCAATGAGAGCGGATGTAAAAGTCGAAAATTGCCACCAAAAAGAACGCGTAGATTATGTACTTGTTGAAATTGGGGAAATTTTTGGCGAAAAATAAGGAGTAAGTGATTTGGGCGATCGAGATGAAGCAACGAAAGCACTCCCAAGCGACGTAGAATTTCTTTTTTGGATTAATCGTCGTTTTGAAGAAGAAGTGCCTCAAAAATTTCCCACTCCCCAATTTGTTCCAAACCATCAAGTTGTAAGTTTTGACCCACTCCTTCTCCAACTGATCGCTAACCTCGTAGCTAAAAAAATCGCTTTTAACCACGTTCAATTTCCCAGGGGAGATCATCTCGGGTAACCGCCCTTTTTGCCTACTCCAAATGATTTTGTACTCATCAAAATGCTCATTAACGACTCGTAAAACGTCGGAGTAAAAATCGCTCTCCCTATCCAAAGCGTTCATTAAATCTTTATGCGAAATCGTGATTAATTCAACGTAGCTTTGCGAGGTGACCTTCAAAAAGGAATCGATTGACATTAACATCTCCAATAAAGGGAAGCAATCGCCTTTGGAGAGCTGGGTTTGAACTTTGTGGTACTTATCCGTTGGGATATAGCTCTCAGCCAAGCAAAAACCCCGCATAATCACGTGGAGATTACTCGAAAAGCACTCCTCTTGGACCAAAACGCAATCCGGGGGAAAAATATTAACCGAAGCTTTATAAGCCACCCTTAACAACACCCCCTCATCGCACTCAAAAAAAATCGGGATTAATCTCAACACCCCGACGATCCTCCCAATCAAAATTTGATTCCTCAAGTACTCAGGGAGTTGCCTCAAGATGCTTTTAGGCCCAGAAATTTCAAACCTCCCATTATACTCCCACTGGCATTGCACCATCGAGTACATCAAATGCCTCAAATGATTCGGGATCCTCTTCAAATTCGCGAAATTCGTCAAAGTATTCAAATAAAATTGATAATCAGCTTCGGCTTGGTGACTCAAAGCGGCGCAAGCTCCAACCTCGCTAAAACAAAAAATATACAAAAAATACCCCGCCATAACAATAATCAACTCCAACAAAATATCATGGATAGAATACGCGAAATAAGCCCTCCAAGATTGGCTCAAAATAATCGTCAAAACGTACTCGAAGCTTAACCAAAAATGAGACAACTCAGAAACGCGATTTTTTAACCTCCGAATCAAATTGTGGTTATAAAACAACCACCCGTTTTGATTCTGCTTCGGGAGGGTGATTAACCCGTAAGAAAACGCGGATAAAAAATAAACAGCACACAAAATAATCACCAAATACTTCAAAGTTCTTATCCGAATATAATGCACCCACACGTTCAACTCCGACTTACTAATCAAAATAAACACTTTATAAATTTTAAGTAATCGCGTAACTCTTAATAATTCGTAAGCAGACGAGGTTCCTAATAACTCCCAAGGAACCGTGGCGATGATATCCACCAAAAACGAAAAATGTTTACCTTTATAAACCAAAATTTGACCCAATGTTGAAATAATCCGGTCCGATTTTTTGACGGCTGTGGTAACCTCTAAAATTAACCCCAAATAATACAACGAATCTAACCCGTAAAAAATCGCGTACACTTCGATCGAAATAACGTTATTGAAAAATAACATATAAGGCAATAACAAACACTGCCCGATTATCGCCCCCAAAACCAAACACTCAAACGTTTTTAAAAAACTACTCGTTGGTTCAAAAATGTACGGAAACGTCGATCTCAAACAAATCGTTTTCACTTTTAACTCAACATCCTCACTCAGAACATACAAACTTAAATACTTCGAAGTATGGTAAATTAGAACGGTTTCGTGTTTTTCGTCAAAACGTTTTTTGATTCCTTTGGTTTGATGCGAAATCGTGTGCCATTGCGATTTTATCCATCTAATATCCGTGTATTTTTGGTCTTTCCATTTTAATTTGAGCCAGGATGAGAATTGGAGTTGGCGGGCTGTTATTAAGCGCTCGTTGAATTTCGATCGTAGGGGGTTTGAGGTTGTTTTTGGATAACGTTGGATTATCTTCCAAAATGAGCAGTAATCTAAGGTGTGAATCTCGCAATATGAGGCGCAATTTAACGAAACGGCGCTTGTTGTTGGTTGGAATATGGCGGTTTCGCATAAAATTGTTCCGCTTGAGAATGACATTATCGGTGAGGATTGGTCTTCTTGGGATAACATCTGTTAAAAAGAAAAATTATTATTTTGAAATTTTGACATAACCTTTAAAAAAAATTATGCAACCCTCCTGTCAAATAATACAGTTTTCTGTAATTCTTTATCTTAATAGTTATAATTTAATTCGACATTTTACGACTTAAAAAAATTAATTCTTTATTTATTACATTTTTTTTTGTTTTTTTTTTAAACAATTTTTATTTATTTTTTATTAAATGTGCCAAAGAAATTAGAAATAATTCGAATTTTAGGTTGGCAACTGAATTGACACTTCAGTTAAAATGTACATAACCTCAATTTGTTTTCTAGCATAAAATATCACTATATTACATATTATTGAAATAAAACTAGAACTAACACAGCGTTAGATTGAACTAACCTTACAAAGTTAGGTTAGAATCTGTCAAATGTCAAAGTCGAATTTAATTATTTTATGATAAAAATTGAAATGATCGTAATAAGAATCAAAAATCTTTTAATTTGATACCAAACATGACCTATTTAGGTTAAAAAATGAATAAGTTAGGTTAGAATCTGTCAAATGTCAAAATCGAATTTAATTATTTTATGATAAATATTGAAATAATCGTAATAAGAAACAAAAATCTTTTAATTTGATACCAAACATGACCTATTTAGGTTAAAAAATAAAATGTTAGGTTAAGAATTCAACAAAAACCCCGCCATTTTGTTTTTCTTGACGTAATTTCAATATTTTCGTAAATATGTCGAGTTTGGATTCATTTTAAAGGATTTTTATTTTCCTTTACGATGCAATTGGTTAGAAACGATTTTAAGAAATTAATAACAATTTTTTTTTATTAAAAAAACATTTTTATATTTTTTCTATTAAATTCTTCATCTTTATTAAAAGCCCTTTAATTTGATACCGAACACAACTAATTTCCGATAAAAATCAAAAATGTTAGGTTAGGAATCAACAAAAAATCCGCCATTTTGTTTTATTTTGACGCAATTTTTATATTATCGTAAATAGGTCGAGTTTGGACTCATTTTAAACGATTTTAAATTTCCTATACGATGATTAGGTTAAGAATCAACAAAGCTGTCAAATGTCAAAATATGACATTAACTGTCAAAAAGATGACAGACGCACAGCTAAACCTGATACTTTCTAGTTCTAGGTCTAGTATTAGTTCTAGTTTTAAATGTATTTAACATTAGATTGAACTAACCTTACAAAGTTAGGTTATAATCTGTCAAATGTCAAAATTGAATTTAATTATTTTATGATAAATGTTGAAATAACCGTAATAAGAATCAAAAGGAATTTGATTTGATATTAACCATGACCTATGTAAGTTAAAATATGAAAAAGTTAGGTTATAATCTGTCAATGTCAAAATCGGATTTAATTATTTTATGATAAATGTTGAAATAACCGTAATAAGAATCAAAAGATATTTGATTTGATATCAAACATGACCTATTTAGGTTAAAAAATAAAAAAGTTAGGTTAGAATCTGTCAAATATCAAAATCGAATTTAATTATTTTATGATAAATATTGAAATAATCGTAATAAGAATCAAAAATCTTTTAATTTGATACCAAACATGACCTATTTAGGTTAAAAACTAAAATGTTAGGTTAAGAATTCAACAAAAAGCCCGCCATTTTGTTTTTCTTGACGTAATTTCAATATTTTCGTAAATATGTCGAGTTTGGATTCATTTTAAAGGATTTTTAATTTCCTTTATGATGCAATTGGTTAGAAACGATTTTAAAAAATTAATAACAATTTTTTTTTATTAAAAAAACATTTTTAAATTTTATCTATTAAATTCTTCATCTTTATTAAAAGCCCTTTAATTTGATACCGAACACAACTAATTTCCGATAAAAATCAAAAAGGTTAGGTTAGGAATCAACAAAAAAATCCGCCATTTTGTTTTATTTTGACGCAATTTTTATATTATCGTAAATAGCTCGAGTTTGAACTCATTTTAAACGATTTTAAATTTTCTTTACGACGCAATAGATTAGAAACGAAAATTTATTAGGTTAAGAATCAACAAAGCTGTCAAATGTCAAAATATGACATTAACTATCAAAAATATGACAGACGCACGGCTATACCCGATACTTTCTAGTTCTAGGTCTAGTGTTACTTCTAGTTTTAAATGTATTTAACATTAGATTGAACTAACCTTACAAAGTTAGGTTATAATCTGTCAAATGTCAAAGTCGAATTTAATTCTTTTATGATAAAAATTGAAATGATCGTAATAAGAAACAAAAATCATTTAATTTGATACCAAACATGACCTATTTGGGTTAAAAACTAAAATGTTAGGTTAAGAATTCAACAAAAACCCCGCCATTTTGTTTTACTTGACGTAAAATCAATATTTTCGTAAATATATTGAGTTTGGACTCATTTTAAAGGATTTTTAATTTCCTCTGTGATGCAATTGGTTAGAAACGATTTTAAAATATTAAAAAATTAATAACAAATTTTTTGTATTAAAAATTTTTTTTTAATACAAATTTTTTGTATTAAAAATTTTTTTTTAATTTTTGTATATTAAATTCTTAATCTTTATTAAAATCTCTTTAATTTAATACCGAACACAAGTAATTTCCGATAAAAATCAAAAAGGTTAGGTTAGGAATCAACAAAAAATCCGCCATTTTGTTTTATTTTGACGTAATTTTTATATTATCGTAAATAGGTCGAGTTTGGACTCATTTTAAAGGATTTTAAATTTCCTTTACGATGCAATAGGTTAGAAACGAAAATTTGTTAGGTTAAGAATCAACAAAGCTGTCAAACGTCAAAATATGACATTAACTGTCAAAAATATGACACTTTACACATTAAATTCCGAATGTATTAATTTTCAGTCTTCAGATGCACGGCTAAACCAGATACTTTCTAGGTCTAGTGTTAGTTCTAGTTTTACACTAATT